AGAAAGTGATTCACTGTCCACAACCTGCCTGGGTGTCAGGACTACCCTTCGGTCTCACAGAGGGCCCAGCAGGCATTGGGGACTCAGGGAGGATCAGTGGGCAGCAGCCAGAGGGGATTCTGGCTAAACAATCCCACGGGATTCCGGTGGAAGACAGTCAGGGTGATGGGCCCTCTCCTTGATGGCAGTGAAAGATGAGGAACAGATAAGGTACCGAAAGTACAGTGTTATTTTTTTTTTATTTTAAAGAGATTAAGACAAAACAGGGGGCTGGGGATTTAGCTCAGTGGCATAAGCACCTGCCTTGCAAGCAGGCAGTCGTGAGTTCGAACCCTGGTACCGATAAAAAGGAAACACACACACACATACACACACACACACACAAAGAGAGATTAAGACAAAACAGGACATAACAGAGCAGATCAGAACAGAACAATGCAACACAGTATTTCACCAGAAAACAACCCATAATTACCAGTAACTACCACGATGTCTCTTTCTTTGAAATAGTTGAGTATAACTTCATATACAATAGTATCAAACATAACAAAATAGTATAAAAACATTCAAGAGAATGAGAGTATTACAAGGTTTTCAGAACCAAATAATAGAAAGCAAACAATGGCTACTATATTATCTCATTTTCTGTAGGAAATCTGTTTATACTTTCACACGTAATATAATCCAATAAGGAGGGGCTGGGGATTTAGCTCAGCGGCATAAGCGCCTGCCTTGCAAGCAGGCAGTCGTGAGTTCAATCCCTGGTACCGATAAACAAAAAAAAAAAAAAAAAAAAAGAAAAAGAAAAGAAAAACTGTAAAAAAAAAATCCAATAAGGCACAACATGATAGAGCCAATGGAAACAGAAGAGCAAGAGCATGGTAGGACTTCAGAGTAAGATGATATTATATCAGCACTGGCTATTATAATGACTTGTTTCCCTCAAATTAGCTGTTCATACCATCACAGATAATAAAATCAAAAAACCAAGACAAACACATTACAACTGCAATCATTATAAGCCTTCAAAACAAAGTAATGGAGAATCACGATTACCCTAAACTCTTACGTACTCTTACTATTTCTTACACTAGAGAGACTATACGTTATTTATACATGTGAGTTTGATTTATTTCACTTATGAGTATGGTCTCAAGTTGCGCCCATTTATTAGTAAATATCTCAATGTGATCATTCTTTATAGCTGCTTTATAGTACTCCATTGTATAAAAATACAACTAAAAAATACTACAACTTTTTTTTATCCATTTTTCAGTTGATGGACACTTCGGTTGTTTCCAAGGTCTGGCTATTACAAATTGTGCTGCTATAAACATGAGTGCACCTGTATCACTGTAGTATGATGTTTTCAGTTCTTTTGGGAATATGCCTAGGAGTGGAATAGCTGGGTCAAATGTGATCTCCAATCCCAGATTTTTAAGGAATCTCCAGATTGACCTCCAGAGTGGTTACACCAGTCTACACTCCCACCAGCAGTGTAGGAGAGTTCCTTTTTCCCCACAGCCTCTCCAGCATTTGCTGTTGGTAGTTCTCTTGATCCTGGCCATTCTTTCTGGAGAGAGATGAAATCTCAGTGTGGTTTTAATTTGCATTTCTTTAATGACTAACAATGATGAACATTTTTTCATGTCTTTATTTGCCATTTGTATTTCTTTATCTGAGAACTGTGTACTCATCTCAGATGCCCATGTTTGGATTGAGTCCTTGAGTTTCGGGGACCTGATTTTTTAAAAATTCTTTATATGTTTTAGAAAGAAGCCCTTTGTCTGAGGGACAGTTCACTGTTCTTGCTCATAGCAGGTTTCCAAGGATGTGTGGTGGGCCCTGGAGAAGGCTCTACAGCCTGACTGATGTTTCACCAAGTGTAGACTCTGCCAGAGTCAGCTTTAATAATTACTTGGCATTCCTCATTAGTTACTGTGCCACTGCCACTGTGAAGCTATCTCATGTGTTAGACTCTGGAAGAGCAGCTCCCGGGAGGAACGGGAACCATAGTGACACCTACTGCCAGAGCCACATCACTTCCTGTTGAGGCTGCAACATCTGATTTCCTCAAGAGTCCATGTAAAGTAACCTCATTGTTGTGTTTATTTGAGCCATCAAAAGGATCTAGTATTTCTGAATTGAATTACCAAGTGGGGAACAAAATTAAAAGCCAATTTGGAAAACAAACAATAGAAAGTATGTGTGATAGCGTGGACCCCAGAATAAAATCCAAGGAAGCAAGAGATTGAAATTTGGGGAGCAAAGGCTTTATTTCCAGGCCTGGTGGCACAGTCTCTCTAGGATCAACCCAAAGATTGCACACCTCACAGCTAAAGACAGTGACTTATAAAGCTAAAGCCCACAGGAATGCTGTTACTGTTGACACAGTTAAATTGCAGCTGGCAGTCGGACCTTACAGAACTTTCTGTAATTTCCTGAGGTTAATCATTTCTTAAAGAACAGCAAGCACTTCTTTTGTAAAGAACAGCACAATTAGCACAATTTATGACGGGCCACCAGATAGGGAAGGGGGTTACCAGGAACTGATACCTCAGGCCTTTTTATGGCCTTTCAGGAGATTGAAACGTAACCTAGTTAGATATGAAGGGGGAAGGGGAGGGGGAGCAGCATGGCGCTTACAGAACAGGCAACTCGACACAACAGTTAGAGCTTGGGTTATAACAGTATGTGGTCTAGCATGGTGTCCCACACTTGTAATCCCAGCAATTGGGAGGCTGGAAGGCCAAGGCAGGAGGATTGCTGGGACTGGGAGACCAGCCTGGCTACCGAAGCAAATTTAAATCCCCTCAAGTGTGGAGCTTCAGACTCCCGCTACAGAAGATGGGGCCTTGGGGGCCATTGTTTGCTGAGGTTGCTGTTCCTTACCAGTTAGTCCTGGAGATAAACTACTGCTGGTGATGTAAGGGAATGAAACTCCTAATCTGTTGTATGTCTGGTATGAGTTTGTGTTCTCTAAAATTCAAGAATGAATTTTAGGAACAACAGAGGTTAAAGAGCAGAATATTGAGAGAAAGAAAACTTCTATCTGAGAGAGAGACAGAGAAGGGTTCAGAATGGGTTGCCATAAACTGCCTTTTCTAAGGACTTTATGTTTTACTAAAATGCTTAAAAAACTAAAATGTGGGGGCTGGGGATTTAGCTCAGCAGCATAAGCATCTGCCTTGCAAGCAGGCGGTCGTGAGTTCGATCCCTGGTACTGATAAAAAATGAAAACAAAAACCAAACAAACAAACAAACAAAAACTGAAATGCAAAGTTAAAAAAATAGTTATTATCAAAAATAGTTTAAAAGATAGTTATTAGCAGAATTGTCATTTTGTGCTGTGCTTATTACCCTAGTAACCACGTGATTAAAGCACCAACCACATAGTTATAGATTAACTGAACATGTTGTCATGCTGTTCGGTATGCGTCCTCCCCCAAGTAAACTGTTTGCTGTGTCAACCTATGTACTCTTTGTAAGAGACAAATGATGCTGTGTGAACTATTGTTCCCATTGTGAGAGACAAATATTCCTGGAATTGGCAGACAAGGGCTATTAATTGGCTAACTACCCACTGTGAAATACCTCTGACCTCAAGCAAAGGGGAACAAAGTCCCACCTTGTTTCTGTTTCTCATTGCTATGTACTTAGTGGTCAATGAGTTAATCGTAAATGAGATATAAAAATCTGTCAAAATTCTAACCCAGTTGCACAGCTTTGCAAACTCCATCTGCACTGTCCTGCTGGATACCAGCTCAAAAAAAGTGCTTCTTTTTAAAAGATGTCTCGTCCCCTTCTTGACAATAGACAACATCACGGGGCTTGTTTTTGGGGTACAATACTTTTATAGAGCAAAACTATAAAGTGAAGTGGATCTAAGGCAGGGAAAACATAGGAACTCACAAGGTGGACATGAGGTGGGAAAGAACTATGGTCAACCAATAGTATTTATTGCTCAGATAAAATCGAATCAATTAGGGACAAATGGGGAGATTATGCACATAGAAAGTGAGCATGCATAAAGAACCATGAATCTTCCTGTAGAGAGTTGGGATGGTGACTTTTGGCTTCCTCAGGGTGATAGAGACCTAGTGCTTATCCTTAGGAAGTATGTGGGTACCTTTGATTTATCTTTTGTCATGAGGCCTGGCTCACAGTGGGCGGTGTCTGTCTCCCCCACAGCTACACGGTATCTGGTCTTCTGCACTGGCTGCTTCAGGGGCCTGGCCCCTTCTGACTGCCTATAATATTTCTATTAACCCAGTTGCCTGTAACACTGGGATTTATAGTGTGGACTTCACCCAGCTGAGTCAGACCTGCCCCTTCCACAGGAGAGGTACAGGTGGGCACAGAAAATGGAGTCTGAGGTAATAGCACTGCCTGCCTCAGGTCTTCCTGGCCTCACCCCTGGGATGATCTTCTCACCCCAACCTGCCTTTGACAGTGGCTTCCACCATTCATGGCAGTGGCTGACAGCACAGTCTCAGCCTGATAGGAAGGTGTGGCCCCCTCCCCAGGCTCCTCAGACCTTCCCTGCCCAGCGAATTCAGGCCAACAGTGAAGGAGTGCTGTCTGGCTCTGCAGATGCCGAATTTTAATCCAGTACTAGGAAACAAGCAGACAAATTGTTATAGCCTAAGCTCTAACCACTGCACTGAATTGCCTGTTCTGTATGCGTCATGCTGCTCCCCCTCCCCTTCCCCCTTCATATCTAACTAGGTTAAGTTTCAGTTTCCTGAAAGGCTGTAAAAAGCCTTAGGTTTCAGTTTCTGGTAACCCCCTTCCCTACCTGGTGGTCTATCATAAAATGTGCTAATTGTGCTGTTCCTTAAAAAGTGCTTGCTGTTCTTTAAGAAATGCTTAACCTCAAGGAAATTACAGGAAGTTCTGTAAGGCCCAGCTGCTATCTAGCTTGTCAACAGTAACAGCATTCCTGTGGTTTTTAACTTTAAAAACCACTTCCCTTAGCTGTGAGGTGCGCAGTCTTCGGGTCGATCCTGAGGAGACTGTGCCACCAGGCCTGGAAATAAAGCCTTTGCTCCCCAAATTTCAATCTCTTGCTTCCTTGGATTTTATTCCGGGGTGTGAGCTATCACATTTGGGGGCTCGTCCAGGATGGGAGCAAGACGCCAGACTCATTTCTGAATGTTTGGAAGTAAGTACTCTGGAGGGTTTGTTTGGGCCGTGGTCAGTTTGTACTCTTGGAGGGGATGTCCTCAATTTGGGAGCATGGACCTCCTGAGGTCAGAGTCAGTCAGTTTTTGAGATGGACTCCATCCATTTGTGACTCTGTCCCAGGTAGCAAACCACTCCATTGGATAATTTGCTAAATCCCTCCAGAGATCCTAAAATTGGTTAATTTTTGAGCAGAGGCCATTTTTGCTGCAGTGTGTCTTGTCTTGTATGTTTGTCTTTGGGTCTATGTGGTCTGATTGTTCCCCTTTTGGTCACCCGACTCTAACAGAGAAGGAGAGAACCTTCTCTCCTAGGAACCCCTTCCCAGAGTCCAAAGTGGGCAAGGGCAATTTTAACCATTTGTTTAGCCTCTGTAATAATCATCCTCTTCTTTTTGACCTTTTCTTTGCCTTTTGAATTTCCTAGCAGGAAAAACAAGTCAGTGACATCATCGGCTATGAGTCAAAAGGAGTCTGTTTCCCGCACCCCCCTTAGCCTTGTGCTTGATGATTTCAAAGAATTTAAGTGGTGGGCTGAGGGATATGGGGGAAAAGTTCATAAAGCCAGACCAACAATTTTTTTTTTTTTTTGGTCTTTTTCATTTTTATTGGTACCAGGGATCGAACTCACAACTGCCTGCTTGCAAGGCAGGTGCTTATGCCACTGAGCTAAATCCCCAGCCCCCCAGACCAACAATTTTGTCACACAGGAATGGCCACTGGGGACCCAAGGAGTCTGGCCCCTTTCTGGGTCTTTTGACCTAGGGACCACACAGGCTGTCCACCAGTATATATTTGGGTCCCCTGCTCACCCTGACCAAATTGTCTATATTCAGATTTGGATAGACATAATCTATGATGCTCCCCCTTGGATTAAGTCCCCTCAGGATGGAGTTCTAGCAGCCTTTAAACCGAAGATGAAGGCCAAAGAGGCGGCTTCCAGACCCAATGCACCTCCAGTCCTGCCTCCAAGTGAAGACTCTTCTGACCCACTGGATATTCTTCCCTTGCCCCCACCTCCATACCCTGCCCCTGAACCCCAACCTGACTGCACCACCCCTTCCCTGCCCTGCCTCATCTGAACCCACCACCACCCTTGGCCTGAGGGACCTCTGGGATAGGGTCCCGAGGTGGCTCCATTATGCCCTTTGCAGGAAGTTCCTGCCCCGAGTGGGAGCTCCATGTTTGTGTATACCCCCTTCTCTTTCTCTGACCTCTATAACTGGAAAGCTCAGAACCCCCCTTTCTCGAAGGGCCCAGAATCTCTGATTAACCTTATAGAATCTGTTTTCTCTACCCATCACCCCACTTGGAACAACTGTCAGCAGATCTTACGCATCCTTTTCACAGCTGAGGAAAGGATGTGTATCTGCACTTTAGGACAAAAGGGAGTTCGAGATCTGGACAGATTTCCATCCGCTGATTGGCAAAGAGTCGAATATCTGTTTCCTTCCTCCCAACCCGAGTGGGACCCCAACACAGATGCAGGTAAGAAGCCTCTTGATGATTATCACCCGAGGCTCGTAGATGTGCTTTGTGTGGCTGCTAAGAAGCCTACCAACCTGTCTTGAGTGAGTGAGGTAAAACAGCTGATGAGTCTCCTACTATGTTCTTAGAACGCCTCCTAGAGGCCTATATATTGCATACTCCAATTAATCCGATGGCACCTGAAAACGCATGAGTGATTAACATCACTTTCAGGTCTCAGTAGGCCCCTGATGTTAGAAAAAAGTTACAAAATCTTGAGGGATTCGAATGGATGCCCCTCAGCCAGCTGATAGAGAGAGTGCAGAAGGTTTTTGACAATAGAGAGACCCTACAAGAAACCAAGAATAAAAAGATGACTGAAGTATTGGAGTTGCTCTGTGAAAAAGAAGCCAAGAGATCAGCTAATACTGGGAAAAAATTGGTTCAAGGCCAGCGGCCTCCTTTAGACAAGGAACAATGTACATATTGCAAAGAGATGGAACATTGGTGTAAAGAATGCCCAAAGTTAAAGGCCAAGCTAGAAAAGGAGGCAAAGGCCTTATTGTCTCAGCAATGAGGTCAGGGCTCGCTGCCACCCCTTGAGCCCCAGATAACTCTCCAAGTGCGGGGGGGGGGGCAACCGGTGGACTTCCTGGTCGATTCGGGAGCCACATATTCTGTGTTGACTCAACTTTTAGGAAAACTAACCAAGAGTTCTGTCAATGTAATAGGAGACACATGGGGATGAAAATCATACCCAAAGATGACAGCTAGTTTGGCTGGTCCAGCATGATTTTCTTTGAGTTCCTGAGTGTCTGGAACCTCTCTTGGGATGAGACCTCCTCCATAAATTGCAAGTGCAAATTGACTTCTTCACAAATGAGCCAAGACTGAAGCTGGGAACAGATAAAAATCCGGACTCGGAAGGTATTAGAGTGCTAGCTCTTGTCCCAGAAGGGGAAAATTACCGCCTACTGGGAAATGTGTCCGGTGTACCTGAGCCATCACAAACTGACTCAGAATTAAAACTGTTAAGTAAATGGAAACAGGAAATTCCAGAAGTCTGGGCAGAAACCAACCTCCCAGGGCTAGCAATTAACCAAGTTCCCCTTGTGGTGGAGCTCTTGCCCCAAGCACACCCCATTTGTTTTCAGCAATTCTGATAAGCCTGCAGGCCTGAAAAGGGATCAAAGTCCACATTCAGAGACTAAGAGACAATGGTATTCTCATTCCTTGTGTCTCTCCATGGAACACGCCCCTGCTTCCAGTTCAGAAGCTGGGGACAAATGACTATTGCCCTGTACAGGATCCCTGAGAAGCTAATAGACGAGTTCTGACTCTACACCCAACAGTGCCAAATCCTTACACTCTGCTCAGCCTTCTCAACCCAGAATACACCTGGTATTCTGTTCTGGACCTGAAGGATGCTTTCTTCACTCTGCCTCTTGCTCCAGTGAGTCAACCCTTTTTGCCTTCAAATGGACTGACCCAGATTCAGGGGTAAAAGAACAGCTAACCTGGACACGCTTACCTCAGGGTTTAAAGAACTCTCCCACCCTTTTTGATGAGGCATTAGCAAGAGATCTTTTGGGATTTAGGGAGGAGCACCCCGAGATAGTGCTCCTCCAGTATGTGGATGACTTGTAAATAGCCTCAACATCCCTAAAAGCTTGTCAAGAGGCAACTGAGGAACTGTTAAGGACTTTGGGGTGATTAGGCTATAAAGTCTCGGCCAAAAAGGCCCAATTGTGCCATCAGACTGTGACTTATCTGGGCTACAAACTACAGGAAGGAAAGAGGACTTTGTCTAAGGAAAGAGTCCATGCCATATTGCAGATCCCATCCCCAGAAACTAAGAAACAGGTGCGTGAATTTCTGGGAACTGTCGGATACTGCAGGCTGTGGATTCTAAGTTTTACTGAAATCACTCACCCACTATATGACTCTCTTAAGGGGGAGATCCAAAAACCACTAGATTGGACAGACAAATGCGAGCAGGCTTTCCAACAACTCAAGGAGGCTCTGACTGAGGCTCCAGCCCTAGGGCTCCCTGATGTTACCAAGCCATTCATCTTGTTCATAGATGAACTCAGAGGCATCACAAAAGGAGTTTTAACTCAAGACATTGGCCCTTGAAAGAGGCCTATAGCCTACCTTTCCAAAAGACTTGATCCAGTAGCAGGAGGATGGCCTCCATGCCTAAGAATTCTAGCCACTGTGGCAATGCTACTCAAAGAGGCTAAGAAACTTACCTTTGGACAGAGGATTTCTGTGGTGACTTCCCACAGTTTAGAGACTCTTATTAAAACCCCTCCTGAAAAATGGCTCTCAAATGCCAGAATTCTGCACTATCAGGCTCTACTCTTAGACCCAGAATCAGTAATTTTCAAGACTTCCTCAGCTTTAAACCCAGCCACCCTTATGCCCAATGATGACCCAGAGAGTCAACAGACACCTCTCCATGAGTGTGCTGACATTCTCAAGCTGCAGCAGAACTTGCGGGCTGATCTTACCAACCAGCCTTTGGAAAATGCTGACAACTATTTCACCGATGGAACAGCTTCATCCAGGATGGCAAGTGAGTGGCTGGCGCAGCAGTGACTACCGAAAAAGAGGTACTCTGGGTCAAACGGTTAGAGCCTGGCACTTCTGCCCCAAAAGGCAGAGCTCATTGCTCTGACAGAGGCATTAAAGCTAGCTGCGGGAAATAGGGTAAACATCTACACTGACAGCAGATATGCTTTTGCTACTGTGCATGTACATGGGGCCATCTATCACAAGCGAGACCTTTTGACCTCGGCCGGGACTAAGATTAAAAATGCTCCACAGATCCTAGACTTGCTGGCAGCTGTCTGGCTACCTCAGTGGGTTGCTATTATTCATTGCAAAGCACACCAAACAGGAGACAACCCTGTCACCATAGGAAACAATTTGGCAGATTAAGCCACCAGAAAAATAGCAACCACATCGGAGGGGCCTATTGAGGAAGTAACTGCTCTGATGTTAGTCCCTCCAGTGTTGTCAAAACCAGTCGATGCAAAGACAGATTTACAGTTAGCATCTCAACTTGGAGCAAAGCCCCTCATCCCGGGGGGCTGGTACCAGTTGCCTGACAAGCGGGTGTTATTACCAGAGGCACTAGGGTGAGAACTGTTATACCAAGCTCATCAGACTACCCATTTAGGAAAAACTAAACTGGCTGAATTGTTCAGAAATCGGTTTTTTATTCCAAAACTCTCCAAACTGACTGCCTCTTTGAGCCTGTTGGTCAACCCGACCAAGAACTCTCCACTGGAGACCACCTGACATTGAAGAACCTCTCCAGGAGAACATAGCAAAGTGCACTTTACAGACATGGTAAAACCTGGCACACAGGGACACCGCTATCTCTTGGTAATGATAGACACCTTCACTGGCTGGGTAGAGGCTTTCCCCACTAAGTCAGAATCAGCCTTAGTAGTAGTTAAAAAGCTGTTACATGAGATTATACCTCGATTTGGCCTTCCATTGTCAATGGGGTCCAACAATGGCCTGGCTTTCATAGCCCAAGTTACCCAAAAGTTAGCTCAGGTATTAAAAATTGATTGGAAACTTCACTGTGCCTATCAGCCACAAAGTTCAGGACAAGTAGAATGCATGAACTGGACCATCAAGGACACTTTAACTAAGTTATCTCTAGAAACTGGTGATAATTGGGTGAGCCTTCTTCCCTTTGCACTATTGAGGGCAAAGTGTACCCCATATATTTCTGGAATTTCCCCCTTTGAAGCTATGTTTGGGAGACCTCCACCATTAGTCCTTAGGTTGTCAGAAGACAAATTACCTGAAATAACTAATCAAGATCTCATTAAGTCCCTGCAGAATCTCCAGCCTGTGCTGACCTCAATCCATTAGCTGTTTAGACAAAAACATCCAAACCCACCCTCGGAGACGCCACTCAAAGTGCTGATTAAGCCAGGGACTTCGGTCCTGGTGTGATGCCACCACCAGGACTCACTTGAACCTCCCTGGGAAGGACCTTTCACCATGGTGCTCAGCACTCCCACCTCCATCAAGGTAGCAGAAAAGACTGTGTGGATCCACCACACCCATGTCAAACCACTGGAAGCGACAGATGACAAAGAAAATCCTCGGTGGACTGTACAACGTTCTGGTAACCCATTAAAGTTAAAATTTGTAAAGGACCCTTAGCCATAAAATCATGTTTGTATTGTGGTATCTAGCTTGGTACTCAATTGTAACTGTAAGCCCCAGAAATGGGGACTGAATTATTTCAGATGAGAAAACTAGAAAGGAATTAGGTAGGGCTAAAGGCATGACCAATCAGATCACCATTGACTTGTGTACACTCTTTGATGGTAATATAATTAATGATGACAGTATGACTAGCAGAATGGGTGAACCGGTCCCAAGCAACTTCTGCACTGGCCGTGGACCCAAAGCTCTGTAAGTTATGTTTCACATCCACAGGCATCCTTGTATGTATGTCCTAAGAACCAAGCTGACCCCAATTATAATGTTTACTGTGCCTCAGATCCAAAACAATGATATTGCTATTCATGGTCGTGTGTTACAGGAGGCCTAAATGGGTATTATAATTTTGAAAAATATCTCGCTGTCAAGTACATAGGAAATAAAAACTGTTATAATGCATATGCATATACGCATATGCATATGCGTATCCTAGTCCAGCTAACCTTTCTAAATCCAATGGATTTTTGGTGGCTAGGACAGGGGCTTACTTATACTATTAAGATCTATAAAACTGGATATGATCCCGGAGTTAGTATTAATATCCTATATAAACCACCTAGAAAGGCTCCTATGGTCCTTTACAGGGAAGAACGCTGCCCAGTAGTGGCCCCCACTCCAGTAAAAGTGCCCACTAAGTCCACACCAAGTTGACTCCAGAGGCATACCCCGAGGCCCCCGGTGGCCGAGGCCATATGCAATGGAACCCTATACCATACAACCAGGTAACCAATCAGGTATACCAACCCCAGGTAAAATTGTGCGGGTGGAAGGGAAAAGGGGACCTTGAATATTGGATAGAGGTTGAGGTGCCTGGTCCTGATCCAACCCTGATTCAACCTACAACTGCTCAGAGGCTGCAAGAGACCAGTTTGGGAAAGTCTAGATGGGCACTTACTGAGTCCGATACTCCCACACTGCCTTCAGTGACAACGGAGATATTCCAACCCTTAGTGGCTGAGCTACTTAATAACTCCAATGATAGTGGTTTGACAATCCCATGCGGGCTATGTCTGTCCCCCGAACCCCTTTCTATGAGGGATACATCACAGTCACTGATAAACTGGCCTCTAATCCCTCCAGATGTGATATATTCCTCCCTCAATCTCTATGGAAAAGTACCAGTCTAGAAGGTATAAATGGTACCTGCATATATCACTCCAGCCACACACAGCTCCTAAATATTGTGACCTCTCTCACTCCTATCGCATCACAGGGACTGGTGACACTACTCCCATAGTGGCCCCAGCCAGCCATTGGTGGGCTTGTACTTCAGGATGGTTCCCTTGTATTGTTTCAAGAAAGTTTGTTATTGACCAGGACAAGGTTTGTGTACTAACCCAGATCCTGCCTAGAATATACTGGCACTCCAAAGAAGAAGGAAACAGGGCCCTCATCTCCACCAGCCACCAAATAAATAAGAGAAGTCCAGTTCTTCCTATTATGGCTGGAATCAGTATATTCTCAGCTCTTGGGTTGGGTGCTGCCTCCATGGGAGTTAGTATACATCAATACAACATGTTATCCCAACAGGTAGATGAGGGAATGAAATGGATTCACAGTGCCAATGAGGCCTTAGAAAACTCAACTGACTCATTAGCTGAAGTAGCTCTCCCAAATCGCAGAGGGCTAGACCTTCTATTAGCTGAAAAAGGAGGACTATTCTTGGCCTTGGGAGAACAATGCTGCCTGTATGCTAATAAGTCTGGGATAGTAAAACAAAATCTAGCCAAACTCCAGAAAAGTATACAAGAAAGGGAAAAACTAAGGCAAGGAACTCCAGGGTGAATGAAACAAATGTTCTCCCTCCTACAGTGGATGACTAGTATAATAGCGACCGTAGCTGGTCCTCTTGTTATGATTCTAGTGTTAGTTACTTTAGGTCCCTGCATAATCAATAGGCTGACTGCGTGTATCAGGCAACAGATGCAGAATATAAAACTAATGATGGTTAGACAGCAAACATACGAGCTTGTCCCCAGAGGCCTTTAAGTAATTAGGCCAAAGATTTGGCCTAAAGTCACAACATCAGAGGGGAATGTTATAGCCTAAGCTCTAACTGCTGCGCGCATTGCCTGTTCTGAATGCATCGTACTGCTCCCCCTCCCCTTCCCCCTTCATATCTAACTAGGTTAAGTTTCAGTTTCCTGAAAGGCTGTAAAAAGCCTTAAGTTTCAGTTTCTGGTAACCTCCTTCCCTACCTGGTGGTCTATCATAAAATGTGCTAATTGTGCTGTTCCTTAAAAAGTGCTTGCTGTTCTTTAAGAAATGCTTAACCTCAAGGAAATTACAGGAAGTTCTGTAAGGCCAGTTGCTATCTAGCTGTGTCAACAGTAACAGCATTCCTGTGGTTTTTAACTTTAAAAGCCACTTCCCTTAGCTGTGAGGTGCACAGTCTTCGGGTCGATCCTGAGGAGACTGTGCCACCAGGCCTAGAAATAAAGCCTTTTCTCCCCAAATTTCAATCTCTTGCTTCCTTGGATTTTATTCTGGGGTCTGAGCTATCACAAAAATAAAGCAAACAAAACCCAGAAATCGAAAAAGAAAACCATAAAACAAACAAAAAAAACCCCTTAACAGTTGATGGTATTCTGGGATAGAAAAGAGTGTGATGCCTTCCTCAGCGTTAGGATTGATATGTCTACGTGTACAGAGAGCAGGGGGAAAGCCTAGATGTCTGTCAGTGTTGGGAATCAAACCCAGGGACTCACGCACGCTACACAAATGCTCTGCCACTGAACTACACCCTTAGCCTCTGCATTTGTTTTCTTTTAATTAAAAGAAATAAAGAGATTAAGATAAAAGAGGACATAACATAATAACACAGGTCAGGGCAGAACAATTTAAGCAACATAGTGTTTCACCACAAGATAATCCGACATAACAGTAGCTACCATAGTGTCTCTTTCCTTGAAATATTTGAGTATAACTTCATATATTATAGCATCAAACACAACATGAAGTGTAAAAGAGAAGGAAAGTATTACAAGTTATTTAGAACCAACTAACAGAAAACGAACAATGGTTTCTATATTATCTCCTTGTCTATAAAAAATTTCGTTTATACTATCACATATAATAAAATTCAATAAGATACAACATGATAAACCGATGGAGACAGAAGAACAAAAGCTTCATGGGACTTCAAACCAAGACAATATTATATCAGCACTATTATATTGTCTTGTTTTCTTCAAAATAACTGCTCATATCATCACAGACAATAAAATCAAACAACAAAATAAAACCATTCCAATTAATGAATGAAAACATTATAAGGCTTTGAAGCAATATAATGGGGAATCATGTTTACCACATACTTTTAGGTATTATTACCATTTCTTACACTAGGAAAATTATTCGGTATTTATACATGTGAGTTTGATTTATTTTGCTTATGAGTATGGTCGCAAGCTGCACCCATTTATTAGCAAATATCTCAATGTGATCATTCTTTATAGCTGAGTAGTACTCCATTGTATAAAAATACCACAACTTTTTTATCCATTCCTCAGTTGATGGACACTTAGGTTGTTTCCAAGGTCTAGCTATTACAAACTGTGCTGCTATGAACATGGGTGCACATACATCACTGTGGTATGATGCTTTCAGTTATTCTGGGAATATGCCTAGAAGTGGAATAGCTGGGTCAAATGGGGCTTCCAATCCCAGCTTTCTGAGAAATCTCTAGATGACCTCCACAGTGGCTGCACTAGTCTACACTCCCACCAACAGTGCAGGAGAGTTCCTTTTTCCCCACAGCATCTCCAGCATTTGTTGTTGATAGTTTTCTTGATCATGGCCATTCTTTCAGGAGTTAGATGGAATCTCAGTGTGGTTTTAATTTGCATTTCTTTAATGACTAACAATGATGAACATTTTTTCATGTATTTTTTTGCCATTTGTATTTCTTCATCTAAGAACTGTGTATTCATCTCAGATGCCCATTTTTGGAATGGATCTTTGAATTTTGGTGGTCTGATTTTTTTTAATTCTTTATATGTTTTATACAGAAGTCCTTTGTTTGAGGGACAGTTCACTAAGATTTTTTCCCAGTTTGTGGGTTTTCTTTTCACTAGGCTGGAGATTTCTTTTGACGTGCAGAAACTTTTTAATAAGAGGCGATCCTGGTTATTGATTCTGGGAAGAGTTTCTCATGCGGTTTGATTCCTGTTCATGAATTCTCTACCTACTCCTATGTCTTCAAGGTTTTTACCCAATTTGTCTTCCAATAGATTTAGTGTTTCTGTTTTAATATTCAGATCTAGCCTCTGCATTTGTTTAACCAAGGATTTTTTTCTTTGTTTTTGTGGTAGTGAGGCTTTATTGGGAAACTGGCCAAGCGTCCTGACTGTCAATATCAAAAACCCAGCCAAGAGTCCCAATTGTCAGTCTCAAGAATATCACAAGAAAAATAAAAAGCAGAGACAAGTATTGTATTCCAACAATGGCTGGGAAGTCGATGTCTCTGGATCCAATTTCCTCCACTCTCACAATAGCCACTATTTATTCATCTATACAATGATAAATGGGACTAGCAAAGGATTATAATTCATTTAAAAACTCCAACTGCAGAGGGCATAGATAATCTTATGTTTGAAGTATTTTGACCCAGAGTATAAACCTGTGATGATTTAAGAAGGCATAGATGATTTTAGGCTTAGAATTCTTGTGTTGAGTATAATCCTGAGATGACTTAAGAAGGCATAGATGATTTTATGCTTCGAAGAATCAATGGGAAATCCCATGTGGGTGATATCAACAATCTCAATCCTTCCTTTCATCCCACAGGGAAATATACAAAACTAGTCACTGTGAATTTATTGTCCCCATCAGGGCTTGAATCCAGGGCTTCTCAGTAGGCTGAGCAGAAACTCTCCAGCCTCCCACCCCAGCCTCTCAGAACTCTGGGATTATAGCTGTGTGCCACCTTATTCAAAGTTTTGTTTTGCTTTTAAAAAATACTTATTTGTTTGTGTTTTGATTTTTTTTGGATACTAGGCCTTACTGTGTATTCCAGATTGAAACACAAAGTTATCCTCCTGCTTCAGTTTCCTAAAGTTCTGGGACTGCCAGGATGAGCCACTACACCTGACTTAATCAAGTTTTAAAAACACAAAGATCCATCACAGCCATGCTTATGTTTTGGCAAAGTACAAGTAGCCGTGACTGGAGAAGAAAGCTTTGCTTTCAGCAACAGACAGACAGTGCAACAGGACTGCCCAGTCGGATTGCCCAAGGACAATCCAAGGCTCTTCATGTCCATTCTCTTCCCCTCTAGAATGAGGGTTTTACAGTCTATGATCAGGCAAGGTAAGTCACAGAAAGTTTTTGCAGGCAACGCTGACACAGAAAGGCTGGGGAAAGAAATAATTGTAGGCTTTATAGCAGGCTCTGGGAGAAGGGGTTCCAGTTTTGTAAGCCAAGCAAGGCCAGAGACAGGGATATTATAGACAACTGGGCTAGCTAAACGTTAATGCATGGTCAGTGAGGGACTGAACCCTCACTGGAGTCAGTATGACAGATGCAGAGGTCAGGATGTGGCAGGAGGTGATTCTGAGCAGCTGGATTTCAACAGCCAGGCCGGCTAGACAGACAGCAGTTTTCAGTTGTACTGTCATCAGCATCCCTGGTCCAGGGGGCTCAGATAGGCCCATATAGCCACATAGAATTGTGGCCAGAACATCTGAACCTCAACTCCCCTCCCTTCCCAAAATGCCTTTGTTCCTTCCATCAGCTCAGCAGCTGTACTTGTAATGTTATAGGTTGATTATAGTCTGACCCACATTGTATCCATGCTGTGGATTTGCTCAATAGATAAATAAATAAATAATAAATAATAAATAAATTGTCCCTGACAAAATGCCTCATGGCCCTCTACTACCAGGCACCTGGCTAAGATCCCTAGCTGCCTACATGAAGGTATAGTGAAAGAATGAAATAAGAAATGGATACAAAGTTAGTAATATACAAAGTGAGTCTAGGAGGTCATTGCCACAGGGTGGGCAAAGAGAAAGACTCTCCAAACTAGCCACTATTTATTGGGTTTATACAATGATAGAAGGGGTTAGTGGAAGGCTCAAGGTCTGTTGAAGACTCAGAGCTCAATGACTCATCGGTAATGGATAATCCTGGGATGATTTAAAAGGGAGGAGATCATGGCATGCTAAGAAGGATCTTGTCCTGGAGTGTTTTTTCTTCTTTTTTTTTTTTTTTTTAACCGATACCGGGGATCCAACTGCTTGCAAGGCAGGTGCTTATGCCGCTGAGATAAACCCCCAGCCCCTCTGGAGTGTTTTTTAATCTTAGTGGTTTTAGTTTAGTCTTAGGACTGGAAGAGCCTGGCTCATCCTAAACAGTTAATGGGAAATCTCAAAAGGGTGGTACCATAATCCCAAACCTCCCTTTATAACTTAGGGAAGTACGCAAAATTAGCCATTGTAAATTTGTGGTCCCAACACTCTCTACCCCACTTCTACAGGAATCCAAGAGCTATTCTTCTTATATCCAATAAAGCTCTCCTTACCTCCTCTGACTTGTGACTTTATTCCTCCATTCTGTGGACCATGAGCTCCGACATCTACCATTTAACAGGTCAAGAGTCATATTTTTCTGTACCAAGGAGGCAAAATAAAATCAGATAGGCCTTGAGTGATCTCCCCCTGGGGCCTGAAGACAGTGAAAGTCTCACATAACACATATATATCTTCATTTTCTCCAGAGAGCAAGGCTGGGAGATCAATTTCTCCACTTGTTGGCAGCATCGGCCAATGAGTGACAACCTTCTCAGGGACTGTCACAGCCTGAGGCAGCCTGCAGTGCATCATCTTAGTCATGACACCATCATGCAAGAGAGAATGGAAACTTCAGACTTTCCTAGCCAATTACCAAAACATAATTTAGGGGACTCCTTGGGCTTATAGGACCTACAGACAGTGGACACTATGAATACTAGAGTTTTGTCTTTGTTTCTAGTTTTCTTTTTGCTTTATTTTGAGATAGGGTCTTGCTACATAGTTCAGGCTGGCCTTGAACTCACTACTTATGTTGGTCTCAAACTCACAGTGATTTCCCTGCCTCAGCCTCCTAAGTGCTGGCATTATAGGGGTGGGCCACCATAACCAGTTTAATGCTAAGGGTTTTAACAACAGCATAGTGGACATTAGATATCTATGATTTATTAAATCATTTCAAGAAAGGATCTAAAATGTTACAAAAATAAGATCACAAAATTTGTACATGCAGGGGAAACACTGGCATGAGATCTTGCTTACCGAGGTCACTGTGGCATCACATGGCATGTTTCTACTACATCTTAACACAGCATGACAAATCAGCCTGGGAAATGCCTTTCTAGCTCACTGCAGTTCCTGCCTGCAGTGTCAATGCAGTGGGGGGAGATTGGCTCCCACTCTGTGCTCCTCCTGTCAGCCTGTGGATCTGGGACAACTGAATTGCTCTGGTA